CGATATTGTTCCGTAAGTAAAACTATTTTGTGCTGAAAAGCAACGCACGGCTGTGTACTCCTCAATGGAAATCGTTAGCAGTAGGGGTGTCCTGAAACTCCAGGGACCTTATGATCAGTGTGTTTTAAAGAACCGAAATTCTGTCGCGGGAATCGTGCACTACTTAACAATCATCCGTTGTTTGTCCGTTTTTCTGAAAATTAACGGTTCAGATTAATCATATTGAAATGAAAATTTGTGATATTTTCCTAATGATCGCCTGAAACAGGTTTAACTATTACACGTTTCTATGTATACATGCTAAAGATGAATTTCAGTGTGGTCTGATCAGGTCCGTATCACCTAACATGCTCTTTTGCCTGCAAAGGTTATCCTGTCAGCGGCTGTGAATTTGATTCACCTAATCACATCAGCTAGTTTCCGTTCGTTAGCGAGTCCAATTCATTTTGTTGCATCGTCTCTTCCAAAACATGTTAGTTATAAAACTTCGGATGTAATAATAACAAGAGTAGTTGTCGAAACGGCTACTTAAACTTGCACTCCATCCAAAAATAAAAATGAAAGTGCCACTGTTTGAGACGGGACGCACTACTCACAAGGTCACTGAAAAATGAAACATCCTGAAACAGCGGCTTTGTGTGTAGTGTGCTCAACCGAGATAATGTACTGTGCTACTTTGAATATCCTCTTAAATAAACTATAAGAGGAACCTTGTGCAAACTTGGTAGAAGAATAAGATAAATGAATGATTTTGCAGTGGTCCAGATGAGAAACAAATCAGTTTGTCAATGCGTACTTGCCGAGAAAGACCGTGTTCATTTTAAGGAGAAAGTGGATGACAAAGATGTCGAAACACTCGTTGCAAAACTTCTCTTCCTGTTCGGGTGAGGAAAGAAACACTGCGTTTTATGTAAGTGAATCATATTTCCAGTAATTAATAGGCACCATTACTAAACGGTGGAGCTTAACGTTCGCTCGGACGTGAGAGTAGAAATCTGTGGTGAAGGATGGAAGGAAAAGGAAACAGTAGAGGCATTTTGCAAAGGTGTCCTGTGTCGTGAAGGAAACCATCAAGAACAAGGCGACAGCATCTGTGTACAGTATTAAAACAAACGCATTGGGTCGAGGTGACATAAGCACAATCAACCAAGTGTCTCCTGCGGGTGATGTCTGACATCAGTCCATCGCACAGCAGCAGACGAAAGTCATCTGAACAGACCCGATTTGGAATGAGAGCAGGATCACTTGGGCCCATCCAGGAAGGCCAGAGATTCCGAAGGTCTCAGGTTGACAGTAGACGCTTCCATTTTACATTATCATGGGCTGTGCCACTTGAGCCTATCGCTGACAGTCGCTCGGAACAGAAAACAATACTTTATTTGGTAGGCAGTCGTTGGGTGTACACAGCACATCAAACTTGCAAGTTTACTACGCCACTCGAACAGACCGGATTCAAAATTATGTGCCCGCTTGTTCATACTCTGTGAACCCGTTGCCAACCAGCCTACTGTTGCAATGGTAGGGAGAGGACAACGATCAAAAACTGGAGGCGCTCACGGTCCTCGGATTAGTTTGGCCATGTATCACAAGCATAGAATAAGAAATCTTCTAGAGTTAACTTGTATAAGCGGCTACAAAGAAATTTGATTCTGATGCCACAAGTGAGGCAAGTTAGCAAACGCTGCATGCGCGCTGATTATCCATGCATGGGCCTTACCTGTTACAGTGAAATCATGGCCTATGAAGCCTGCAAGATAAGCGAACTGATCAGCTAATTCAAGCTCTTGGTCCTGAATGTCTCAGAAGAGCGTTAGAAGACGGACAAACTTGAAGTGAGACTATGCATGTTGAAGGTACAAAAAGCACGCCAAAGCCTGTGATCAGTTTCGGTATTCTGCCGTGACGAACAACTGTCGAGCTAAAACGATGTCGGTCACGCAATACAATTCCAGCAATCTCTCTTCATACGTAATTTTGTTACCAGGTTTATGCTCCCGTAGATTGTGCACTGATGCCATCTATGATGAGACTGAACCAAAACGAGTGGCGGGACATTTCTGAAGGATACTTCGGGCAGTCCGCTGTACGTCCAAACGCGACCCCAGGTGTGAAAATAAAGGGAATGAAAAACGCTTCAAAATTTCAAAGCCATTCATTGCCTTCTAACCAAAGATATTTAGGAGAGCTAATCTATAACCAGAACCCAGGGCTCCCCCTAAATTCAAGGGAAACAGTGACTATTTGTTGCCGGTATAAGGATCGCAGTCCAAGCAAACGATGTAATGTGAAGATATGATATTGCCGAATGCCGACTGGTGTCTCACCCGCCAGATACAGGCGCAACAACAAAAAAATCAGTAGCCGTGTTAGGGAAGACGGAAGACCTATACCACTGTGGTCGGGACAGTCAGTTTGAACCCCGCTACGACTGGCCGCAATTCTCTAGAACCAAAATACTTTTGCAAAAATATCTGGTCGTGATCTTAATTTGAAAATACCACATCAACTTTTTGAATTCACCTTTACTGTGACTGCAGAAAGTGCAGAAAAGAAGAAGCTGAAATCTTATCCGGCCTCAGAAAGTGTCCAGATATATTGCAAACAGTCGCATTATGTCGGAGTGTGTGGAAGCTCAATTTCGTAGCCTACATTGAGTCTGTCGCTGTAGTGGATATGACGTGACCCGGGGGTAAAACAGACTGCAATTACTGAAAGCAACACCTGATCCCGCTAATAAATTGTTAGTTCATTCATTCCGAGCGAAACATGAATATGGGATGTTGTGTATGTGGATGTATATAAACGGATATTAAAGCACCTGTTCCTTACACGGTCCGAAATACACGGAACAGAATGTTTTATACCTTCAGATGCATTACTTCTTCCCGAACCAAGACCGTTTTAAAGTGAAGCCCGAAATAAATTTTATTCTCAACTTAACAAGCTAGAACCAGCTATTCATTTCAGTTCAAGAGAAATGTTTTTTTGGAGACACACTGTGCATATATGAATCACTACTACCCAGATCTTAATTCGATAATCGTGCAAACGACTGACTTGAAAATCGCCCATTTACTTGCTCATCAAAACCGGAATAACCGGAAGCAGTTGTCCACTTTGACGTCTATTTTCTAGCGGTATAGACAGTAGGGTTGAGTTGGTGAATGACAATTCTGCATGTCGAAACATAACCAAATGTCACTCACATGCTGTTTGAGATATGCGTGTGCTGAGCTGTGTCGAACAAGGGAGCAGCTGGCGGAAATGCAAGTCATGGCCTGCCACAGTTTGCACTGGTGTTATGTTTCTCCCCCGAGTTGTCGTTACTTGATGATGACACTGTTGAGTAACAGACATATGGGAAAAAACAGTCGAACGAGCTGTGAATGCTTTTCTGCCAAACAATCCTTGTACATGGATTTTGCTTTGTTAGCACAAGTTCTTGGTTCTCCTCTAATCCTCAAGGACAAGGCGGTTTTAAGTTCAGTATCTAAAATTCTTATCTTTCAAGGACTAGGCCAATCCATTTTGAATTACTTTGTCAGGAAGTGTGATTGTTGCTGCACACAGAGATTTACACCGTCAATACCACAAGCAGCATTCAGTGTCAACTACTTTCCTAACA